AACAAATTTTGGGCTCAATTGTGGTCATAGCAATAGCAATAGCACTTGAGTTAGACTTATATACCACTTCACAGGGCTTTCAGCCCTCTCTAAGCGGTTTACAGAATCAGCATTTTACCCACCTCGGAAGGATGGAAGGCTGAGTCAACCCTGAGCCGGTGAGATTTGAACAGCCGAACTGCAGAACTGCAGTCAGCTGAAGTAGCCTGCAGTGCTGCATTTAACCACTGTGCCACCTCGGCTCTTTGATGAAGGCAGCTTCTACAGCACTTCCTCATAGTTTCCTGACAGTTTCTTTCATTTCTTTCATCAGAAGCTTGGTTCATGCATCAGAAGCCATGACTTGGATCTGTGGGTCCTAACAACAAGGCACATGGGCCTTAGGCTTGTCTAAAAGAACCTCAGATGGTGTCTGTGGTTTAAGATTGTAAGGTTGTCCCATAAATAATAATGAAAGTGGAAGGTTTTCATGTATTTCCTGGGCAAAGAAGCTGAACACCATAAAAAAGTATTTATGTAAAAGGCGGAGGAGGGAATTATTCAGTCCCCGAAGGCACATTGGCTTACCCTGATTCTTGTCCCAGAAGGGCCCTAATTTGAGAAATCTGAGCACATCTGTATAAATGCAAAGGAAGCATCAAATGGGAGATTATGAAAAACAGTTCACAAAGCAAGTGGAAACTATATATAAAATGATATTTACTTCTCATTTCAGATGAAGCCCAAGACAAAAGGCATATAGGTAAACACAGCTGCAACATTTTTAGGCATATAATCAAATGCAGAAAAAATATTGGAAAACTATGCTAATTATTGTAATTAAATTGTGAACAGTATTGATAGCAAAATATCTTTATAAAACCTATCAAATCAAAAGGAGTCGGATCACATGTGGGAATGCATTCTTGTGGCAAGAAGTACCAGGATACAAAGACTGGTCTCTCTCTTCCTTCAGCAAAATATTCGTGGTAAGATAATGATACACATACAGTAGAATCTGTAGAAGGTGGAAAATATATTTCTGGTTCATTGCTCTTTTGTGATCAGAACTTCGGAGGAAAGTGATCAAGAATATATTTTTATTTCTTTACTTTCATATTAACTCTCTAAAGTCTAGAAACAGCCCATGGTCCTGTCAGCACTCCTTCATCAGATAATCAGGAAAGAAAACCACGACTCCATTGATAGAAATCAAGTGTACTTTTACTAATTATAAATGANTTTTTTTGGGGGGGGGGGGGGGTTTGGGGTCAGAAGAGAATGACGGTAGATGCAGGTCAGCTTTAAATTTCTTCTAAAGAGTTGAGGAGTGGAGTTAAAGCACGCGGTGCACAGTGCAGACTCTCAAGAGCTCTGAAGACGTCCAAACCGATGATTACCTCGTTTTGCCTGCTGGCTCCTTGCTGGGAACTTCTGCTGTGGTTATTTTCCCCACCTCGACAGGGACAGGATGTAATGTCTCTGTGGTCATTTCAGAAAGCTTCAGAGTTTCATCTACAATTCCCTGCCCGGCCTGGAGGCCCTCACTTGCCTCGTGGTATTCACTCTCAGTGCTTTCGTTGTCTGAGATGTTCTCAGCTGTGCTGGAGTCCTCAGAGGAGGTAGACTCATACCTGGAACAACACAGGGTTGAGAAGCGAGCCCAAAAGAAGCCCGAGAAGGTACTCCAGATTCTCTTCAGAACAGGGAGACACTATGGCAAACCCTGGCTGCCTACACTTCAGAATGGAGGACTTCAGGGATGCCGTGTGATTTGGGATCTTGCAGGCCACGATGGGACAATGGAAACCTATCTTGGTACAAATGGCAACTTCCAATAAAAGCAGCAAGGGTAAGCAGAGCTCCTGCCCAGAGATAGATTACGATAGGACTCCTGGGCAAATTCTGACAAAATTGTACAGTTGTTGTGTTTCTTTGAGGTGAAAATGGTATATTGCTTCTCTGAACTCCAAATTAAAGGTTACGGAAGCAAACGAGAAGATAGAAGTCTCCTGCTATGGACCTATATGCCTTGCTACCTCGATTAAGGAACCAAGGGGTAAATAGGGAGCTTCCCGTTTTCTTTATAATTCTGAAACTAGATTTACCCTCCATTGACGCCCACAAACTGGAGGCTCTTCTTGCTAGTCAGTATTTCCGTAGATTCTTCTTTCTTCTTCATAATTGACCGGATCCCTGCAGTGGATGAAACTAGGAAGAAAGGAAGGTAGTCATATTAGCTGGCAGAGAATGATTCCATGGCACCTTTCTCCACCCCACCTTCTTACCTTGATCCTCTTCCTCCTTCTGCACATCCAATTTAGGTTCTTGAGAGACACAAGGAACCATCTGCTCTCCTTGGAAGGAGTAAAGAAGGGGATCTTCCGTTTTCTCCAGTGATTCTTCGGCCTCTGAAACAGGAGAGTGACAACAGATGGCTGCCCTTTGGACATCTCTTTGATAGTTTGGTAATGAAGTCGCAATATAGCTGTTTTTTGTGGGCTCACATTAAAAATGCAATATTGTTCCATGCATGCAATAGAATACATGGCTTGATTCAGGGGTGGGTTTCTCGCCCCGTTCCAACCAGTTCGGGGACCGCCGCGAACCGGTTGAAACCCACCCCTGGCTTGATTACAACCTGGCCAAGTAACTTAATATTCCAGGCCTGGAAAGTAGGGAACAATGTTTACAGGTAGTTCTCAATGGACCACTGGATACATGCAGGTTTATCCTCCCAGCTATGAACATGGATCTTTGTCAACTGTAACTTTTTTGTCAAAATGTCTTGGAATTGCATCTAGTAGAAACAAAATGTGGTTTTAACGCAAATTTTGTTTTATAAAGATTTCTGTATATTTATTTCCAGTGTTTTTGAACTTTTTACAAGTCTATCACATATGATCAAAATGTTCCTTCTGTATCATTACATTTCTAGTATTATTTTTTTCACTCTATGATGTGTTTATGTTGGCAATGACTGACTAAACAAATAAAACATTTTGTACCAGTTTTCTCTCTTAAGTTGCAACGTGGAGTCAATTCTATGGATTTGCGTTTAGTCAAACCAGGTATTGGCTGTTTTAAAAGAAGCAATGGTTCTAGCTCAGTGTTTCTCAACCTTGTCAACTTGAAGATGTCTGGACTTCAACTCCCAGGATTCCCCAGCCAGCATTCGCTGGCTGGGGAATCCTGGGAGTTG